TTTCGTGTTTGTGTGTAAGTCTGAATTGGCTAAAGACCAATGTATCAGTCTTTTTGATCAGAGGCAGCGCAGCCAAAGGACTGTCCTCATGGTATTGATCAAAGACTCATTAGCAATAGCCGGAGCAGCGCAGTCAACGAACTGTCCCCTTAAAAAGGTGTGAATGTCATCTATCTCATTTTGTTGTAGTGGGGGAACTTAGTGTTTGTTTTATTTTCATGTTTGTGTGTAAGTCTGAATTGGCTAAAGACCAATGTATCAGTCTTTTTGATCAGAGGCAGCGCAGCCAAAGGACTGTCCTCATGGTATTGATCAAAGACTCATTAGCAATAGCCGGAGCAGCGCAGTCAACGAACTGTCCCATAAAAATGTGTGTATGTCAAAGAGAACTCTATGTCATGAATTTACTATTGGTTTCATGTTTTTGTTTTGTGTGAACGTTTTCAACTTACTAATGTCACTTAGAACTTTGTAACATACAATGATCAACTCAAATTGAAAATAAAATTACTAATAGGGACTTTATTATTTTGATACCTGAAATAGAACAACACATAATTAAGAAATACAACACCCTTACCAAAGATACAAATACGCAAAACACCCTCTAACTACAAGCCAACAAATACTACAATCAACATGCTTCTAAAATAACTACTAAGTGACAAGAACCTTAGGTTAGAGTGGTACCAACTCTAAACTAAGGGTCTCGTCTTTAGCCAGTTTGCCCATCCGGTCAGCTTCACCGGTTGTGCAAGACTGACAATCATCCGTCTGCTCGCAGCCCTTTTATACGCTCGGGTTGAGTGGTGGGGGTAGAACAACGCTGCACCTGCTTATGTAAATTAACTAGCGATAGTAGGTCCCTAGCTAGAATATATGCCCGGTCGGATTCAAACATATACAAGGCAGATCCATTACTACCGTTTTTATATTTTTTCCAAGATATTTTCAAAGTCCTGTAAGTAGGTCAAGGTCATTTAAAATAATACCAAAAGAAGAGATGGAGCAAACATGCTCTATCTCTCCTTCTGTTGTAGTGAGGAAAGAGTCTGTGTTTAGGTATAACAACAAAAGCTTAAAATTTAATTTAACCAAATGCAGAATAGTATGCAGGCCGTTGGACCTCTCAACTAATTACAAAATGGTCAACTTAAATTAAAATATAGAATATTTACAGTCACAAGAAAGTGTTCATTGTTAGCTGACATAAGTTAACTACCAATGACAACGAAAAGTTTAAAATTTAATTTAACCAAATGCAGAATAGTATGCAGGCCGTTGGACCTCTCAACTAATTACAAAGTGGTCAACTTAAATTGTAAATAATAGAATATTTACTGTCACAAGAAAGTTCATTGTTAGCTGACATAAGTAAACTACCAATGACAACGAAAAGTTTAAAATTTAATTTAACCAAATGCAGAATAGTATGCAGGCCGTTGAACCTCTCAACTAATTACAAAGTGGTCAACTTAAATTTTAAATATAGAATATTTACTGTCACAAGAAAGTTTTCATTGTTAGCTGACATAAGTAAACTACCAATGACAACGAAAAGTTTAAAATTTAATTTAACCTGAAATTGTATCAGCGTTGATTTTCAGACCTCTCAACTAATTACAAAGTGGTCAACTTAAATTTTAAAGATAGAATATTTATAGTCACAAGAAAGTTTTCATTGTTAGCTGACATAAGTAAACTACCAATGACAACAAAAGTTTAAAACTTATTAACCAAATGCAGAATAGTATGCAGGCCGTTGGACCTCTCAACTAATTACAAAATGGTCAACTTAAATTTAAACATAGAATATTTACAGTCACAAGAAAGTGTTATTGTTAGCTGGTAAACTACCAATGACAACAAAGATTTAAAATTTAATCTAACCAAATGCAGAATAGTATGCAGGCCGTTGGACCTCTCAACTAATTACAAATGGTCAACTTAATTTTAAATATAGAATATTTACAGTCACAAGAAAGGGTTCATTGTTAGCTGACATAAGTAAACTACCAATGACAACGAAAAGTTTAAAATTTAATTTAACCAAATGCAGAATAGTATGCAGGCCATTGGACCTCTCAACTAATTATACAAAGTGGTCAACTTAATTTTAAAGATAGAATATTTATAGTCACAAGAAAGTTTTCATTGTAGCTGACATAAGTAAACTACCAATGACAACAAAAGTTTAAAACTTAATTTAACCAAATGCAGAATAGTATGCAGGCCGTTGGACCTCTCAACTAATTACAAAATGGTCAACTTAAATTTTAAACATAGAATATTTACAGTCAAGAAAGTTTTCATTGTTAGCTGACATAAGTAAACTACCAATGACAACAAAAGTTTAAAACTTAATTTACAATGCAGATAGTATGGGCGTTGGACTCTCAACTAATTACAAATGGTCAACTTAAATTTTAAATATAGAATATTTACAGTCACAAAGTTGTGTTCATTTTAATGGGGACTTCTTTACTTTGTTGGAATTTTGATTGGAATTCTTATGGGGTGTGGGGGAGGTTGTTGGAGTGGGGGTAAAACCATCTTGATAGCTATTAAGTAAAAGCAGCACTGCTACTTTGAACTAAAACATTAAGTTAGATTGCAATTTACTGATAACATTAGTTAGATTGGCCAAATCTAACGAAAGGTTTTAATCAAAGAGTCTATCAGTCAGCTGTGCAGTTGGGTGAGACTGACTACAGTCCGTTCGCTGCCTCACTACTTTTATCCGCGAGCCAGTTGGGAGGGGGCCGGTCGGGAGGTTTACCCTGCTTCGCGGGTAAATTTCCCTACTGTCGGGTAATTCTACCTACTAAGTAAGGAAGTCTCCAAACCTCCAACATCACATCATTCAGTGTCGAACCTTCAACGAAGACTGTTCACATATGCTAGCTCTGTTCTGATGTTAACTATGGATAAGCCAAGTACAATCACACAAGATAAACTAAAGAGAATAAAAGAAAATTTAAAGAAATCTACTACTTCTAAAACTAGCAATTTTCGCAAGTCAATGTCACTACGTCTAAAGTTTCAGAAGCAAATTAAATTACCACTACATTGGAATGCATCAGGATCAAATTATTCTAATCAATTATCACCCGAAGCCATATGTCAAGAAATGAAGCTTCCTCAAATAGTAAGTCCAATAGAAACAGAAAAAGTAACATTTAAATATCTGTTACAAAACAAACATTATCAATTAGTAGAACAAAGACAAAACGAAAATGGTAAAACATTTATTTTCTTTTATGACAACAAGTTTTTAGAGGTTTGCTTTCCGACACAATTAAACGTATCAAATCCTCCTGACGTTGAAGATGGAAAGCTAATTTATTTGATTCACACAAGTCAGGACACATGGAATTGGGTATAATTTACATACAAAAGGTATCAGTCTTTCTAAAGACTCCATTATATAAACATATTTTGACCACAAAGGTTAATCTGTCAAACTATTTAACAAAATATAAACATGGTCTCCAAAACCCGTAATATACTACTACTACTAATTTTTCTAAAAATATATAAACAATATTTAATTTTACGTTATTTTTTTAGGACCTCTAACATAAGATAAGAATTATATTTGGTTTTACATTAGGCCTACCTCATTTGTGGGTACAAGATAAAGCTGCTATATCACATAGTTCCAAAACACACGCGAGCACACGATACAGCTAACGATAGACACAGCACCGTACAGATAGCAACACTCCGCCACTACGTCCAAACGCGAACTGTGTGGATACGATCCAAATCTGGGTACAGCTCCGCGAAGGTTGAGTAACAAGGTCGGGCGTGGCCGCGACCCTGACCAAACTTTCGTCCGTCCAACTAACCCAATTCCGCGGCGAGCAGTGAGTCACCCATGCCGCAACGCGCCGCGCCCCGCTGACCTTACTAGAATACTACACAGTACTGTTGACTATGAATTTAACTAAATCCATGATTTAATTGTATAAACTGTGTTTCGCTCGTTAAACAATTAAAACAGTACCCACATACGTCACAAGTGACATACGACCAAAACCACCTGCTCTTACGTAATTTCCTCCGAATGCCCTTTAAAATAATTAACTTTGTAACATCTGCTAACATCTGCCCGACAGCTGTTGGCGGTGAACTGTTACTATGACACTACTATCTCTAAAATAATAGTGGAGTTCCACATAATAATGTTCAGTATTCTAGGACATTGATTGAAGGGATAGCCAAGGGGATAGTAACTTAACATTATAAGTACAATACTCGCTTTCCAATCCAAGGGTTTATGTCAAGAATGCTAAGAGGTTCTTGGATCCAGTTCCATTTTGTCGTTAGGATATTAATTAATTAATGTATCTCCACAAGATCCACGTGAGTATATTTTATTAACGGGATATGTTTGATGTGAGGATTGTTTCATATAATGTGTAGTGACGTACACGTGGGAGGGAGTAAGATTTCTCTACAACTTGGGTTGAAATTTTACAAGAGTCAATTTGTCTTGGCTTCGAAACTTTTTGAAGTAATGGAAACATGGTAAAAGATCGAACAGGTCATAAACAACTCACTCATTGCGATTGGTAGTGAAGTAATGACGGGATTGTTTTACAAGAGAAAATATCACCTTAGTAAATAAGTTTAAATACAATCGTGACGTTACATTGAGGAAATAAAATGTGAATTATTTATATACACGAAAGACATATGATCAACAACAACAGTTTTAATCGAAACCATAAAATACGAAACGAAACCATAAAATTACGCTTTAGTCAATATTTTAGCAAACCAAAAAATGTATAACCCTAAGAATAAAGTTAACTGTTCGATTGCTAGCGAGATTATTTCTGGGCCCAGATTGTATTTGTGCTATCATAAATAGATGCTGTCTAACAAAATTCAGATGTTACAGTAGATAGTTGACTAACAAATCCAAAGGGTTTGGACTTTCCCTATCCCAAAAATGCAATCCATATATAAATCACAAAGTACCAAGTACCCATGAACTTTTTACAAAACTACAAGTCACATCCCCATAAACCATTAACTTAAAATATTCGTCATGACGAGATACCTTGCGCAAAACTATTCCTTATTTCATAAATTGCCCTAAGGTCGTAATTCCTTTCGTAAGGGAACTTTCCATATATGTAATGTTAAAAATACCTCAGCTGTACTTATTTGTTTGTTATTCTTTCAATTTATTACCTTATTAAAAAACCAGGTGTGATTATTTGTTTGTATTACTGTATTCTGTTTTGTTTATTTCAGCTTAACTTAACCAATAGTTGTATTAATAATACTCATGAAGTCAAACGGGGTGAAGCCCGTAGGTTACAGCTAGTGAATTACAGAAATACAAAATTAGAAAATTGAAATTATAAATTTGTTGAACTGGCTTCCTAAAACTTTACACTAACCTCAAAACTGGTAGTTTTTACCCCAAAAGAGTTTCCTCTCGCTCAATGTAGCAAACAAACCTGATTTGCCCCAAGCCCGGATGCCAAACCCCTGACCTATATTTGGCTGTTATCGGGTTGATGGGTATTTGTTTTGATTCGGAGGAGAGGCAGCTCCCCACCGCAAAATCTATAAGAGAGTCGAGGGGACAGGAGCAGGGGATGAAAGGGGTGTATGCGCGCGCAAGCAACCCCTAGTGAAGCGCAGAACTGCTAGGATACATGGATCGACCCACCACTTAACCTCTACACTTCATCTATAGCAGGTGGGATAGCTTATTTTTAGAAATAGAATATTTTTGAAAATGTGAGTTTAAATTTATACATAATCGTACTTGGGTTCGTGTAGAAAGTCTGTGTATAATAGACGAGGATTTAGTTCACACTGACTTGTTCAGTGGTAACTGAATATTTCCTGTGTTTTGTATGTAAACAAATTATATTGATATAAATTTTTTTATATATTTGGTGGTATTAGTTGTTTCCATGTACAAATACAAAACAAACACACAGATAAACAGGTCATGGAATATTACGTAACATGTAACATGAGAAAATAAATAATATTTATGAGTAAATTACCTAAATAGGAGTTAAAGTTTGTTAAAAGATTTGTAAATTATTTTCAACTTGTTTTTGAGCGAGCTATTATGAAATATATACATAATTTCACCTTACTTAGGACATTATAATATTTTCAGGTTTAATAGCATTTAATAATATCAAACATTTGTGTGGGAGTTGACACACCTTAGTGTTAAGTTGGTAGCCTTGACTTTCAAAAGTAGTATAGTTCTTCAGACTGTTAGTGGATTATTGGATTAATAAGTTTCTTGAATGACATTTCAACAAATCAAAAATCCTCAGTTTAAATAAATTGCTTACAATGTTTACTTCCATGAACCAACTCATAAACCAATTTACCATTTTTCAGTGTTTAGTAAGAATTTACGGAAAGTAAATAAAGTTTGACATAAACTTCATGATGGGTATAGTTAAAAATAACATTATTGATGTGTCTGAAAAAATTGCTTATCAAATTATGCAAGATGACATAATATGAACACAGAGTAAATAAATGTACCTACCATACTGATGTATAACATTTACTTCTTCAGTAAGTATAAAGTAGGGACTAATTATTCCTAATTTAGGCCTACATTGACTTTAGTCAAAACATATTTGAATGCTAAAAGTGGGAGCAGTTATTTTTCGTTTCTAAATGCATTTCAGTTTTACTATAACTAATTTATTAAATTGTAATTCCTTTACATCATTAGTTCAGAAGCATTGTTAAGAATGAAAATGTTGACGTTATTTAGGTAAATAGCTATTAATAGACCTATCTATTCAATGGGGAGAACATAAATTAAATCCGTACTGAAACTGAAATAATGGATAAGAATCTATCATAAATCACGATTATGGTGTTGTGCATTTAACAATAGACTTTCGATCATCCACGTACAACGCTTTTAGGCCTACATCAAAGGATTTTTACACCAAACGGTCCAATTAAATAGTACCGTACTACAGTATCTAATATCACTCGAGAGTTTAAAAGGTGTGTTGTTGGTTTGTTTCATCAAAAAGATTAACTAACGATGTTTGTTTACTAAGCCTCACCTTCATTTGGTTTTTATCACAACACTTTAAACATTTCGTAACTAACATTCGGAACACGCAACACTATACAAAATCGTAATTGTTCAAGCTTCACATAATTAAATCGATAAATCAGTATTCTTGGGGGGAAAAATACGAAATCAAAAATTTTCTGGAAAATATTTGTCAACTTGTACGTTATGAAAAAAGTCCCATTTATAAAATACTTTGTACAGTAATGTGATAAATCACGATCATAGTGTAAAATCAAATGTCAACTTTGGCGATGAAGATAAATAATTTTTTGTATTAATAGTCAAAGGTATAACATACTGAGCTCTTAGTCATTGTATCCAGTCTTCAATTGAATGATTTTATTCATAAGAAAAAAAATATAAATAAGCTAATTAATGAACAAGTAATTTTTGAGTTGCACCTCTAGAAACTTATTGGCTAGTACCATTCTAGTACTTTCGGCAGCCAACAGTATATACGTAGGGGCGCTATTGAGATTCTTGTATTCAATACCTAATTATTTTATGACACAATTTCTATTTACATTTCTCTCACCAAGAAAACCGAAAATAATTACGATTTTTGTTTCAGACAACATGACCACAGAAGAAGTGTGTTCGCAACTGGACAAAATGGATTTGCAAGAAGACGTGTCGAAGGAGAACTGCAAAAACATTTTGCAAACGAAGCATTCCTTGCCGCAAATCACGGTGCAGGAAAACAACAAGATGGAAAACTCGGGAAAGAACGTGTTGGAGATTAACAAGAATTTCCTTCAAGAGAATCGGACGAGGTCTACGCCTACCTCGCCTAGCTTCTTCCGCAGTCAGAGCGTTCAGTCGCGTCCTCCTCGGCGGGAGTCCCCGGTCATTCGGCTGGCGTTGTTCCCCCGGTTGGAGAAGTGCGTGTCGGAGCCGGAAGTGTGGAATGACAAGGGACAGACCATGGAGGAGCCGGGGAAGGTCCAGGGGGAGTCAGCATGTCCGGGCTCCAGGTCGGAGGGGCACATCTCCCACATGAGCGAGGCCGGGGAGAAGACCCAGGAGGAGGTCAGTTATGTTTTAAATGTTCGATTGTGTTGCTTAATCTTAAGACTAGTTTTATTCACTTAGCGAGATTTAGTTAACATCAATAAAAGCAATGAAAGATGTAATAAATAAACGCAACGTCAATTACGAAAGCAAAAAGTTTCGAACGATTCGTTAGTGTCTTGATTCAAAATCCAAGAAATAAAATTGAACTGTTTTTCAATAAACTAAATATGTAGTTAAATTAAGGTCCCAAATAAAGCATATGCTTAATTCAATTTGAAAAAAATAAGAATCATTCAGTAATGATGTGCCAAAAACCTAACAACATAGATATAGGGATTTTATCATCGACAGAGTAGTTAACTTTATGTAGCTTAAATCTACGTATTCCGTTGCTACAATGAGACTGTCATGTCACCACAAGGTAAAGTTAGTTTCTCAGAACAAAGTAAAATTTCGCGTTTTAAAAATTTAGATATTGTATCCATTGAAACCAAAGTAGTGTAGTGTAATTCAAACTGTAGGCAAGAAAACTTCGTCCACTTCACCAAGATTCGGACTGACTTAAAATTAATATATATTTATGTTCATGTTTTAAATTTGCTGTGGTGAAAAAGGATATGCAAGGATGCATAGAAGTGTGTATGGATGGAACAAACAAGATGTTTTTTGGGGAATTGGTTCGTGATCGATTGCCTCAACAACTATGTTGTCAACATGTACTTAGAATTAAATTTATTTGCTTAGTCTACACTTGAATATATAGTTTATTTAAAATATCCCTTAAAACATGACGTAAACAATGCCGACTGGAATTGTTAAGGATTCCTAATTGTATATTAACTTTTGGCCAGAGGAATATACATTTAAAAATCACGTACTCTCACCCGTTCCTTTCATGCTAAACTAGTCATTTATACTCAGTACGGACACAAAAATACAAGAAATACTCTCCATTTTTGTGCACGCTTGGGTAATATTCTTACCCAACTACCTACTAGCGGTCAATTTGTTAAATCTTAATCCATTTGCCTTCGTATTTTCTCTAGTAGTTCAATTCAAAAACCGAAACCGATTGTAATTGAATTGATTGTAATTTTGTAATTGAATCTCTTAACTCTTACAGCAGTTTTATTTGAGGAGTATTCTATTTAATGCACAGGTTTGTCGTGTAGATAGCCTATTAATCCACGGTAGCCAGGCTGGTGCCGGTGAGTCACTTGTACTCCCGGTAGTAAAAACAATTACTACAATAGCAACGAGCACGCAAGTGCAAGTATTGTACTTGATGATGTAAATGACCTTTAGTACACACAACAAGAGAGAATAATATTGTAGAATGTGTGGTAGTTTAGTCAGTAGGGTGGAGTTAAGGTTTGTGGTCGTATTGTTCAGTCTATAAAAATTATTACTTTAGTGTAACTATCATGCCGTCAGCAAAACATCAGTAACCCCCCTAAAATCATTTTCCATGTGATTTATCTGTAGAATGCGTAGAAGACGGAATTTCAATTTTATGGTTCACTTGTCAATAAGCTATTAACCTCAGCTTTCTCGTCAAAGATCCTCTTCTTAAAATGATTTTAGATATACAATAATTTTATTACCCTAGGTACACGTATATTAAAACTTGAAATATGACAAAACTACACGACAGTGTTAAGTACAATTTTGGTTCTACAGCATTACACGACGAATGAATAGGCCTACTGATTTTCCACGCAATTAATTGTTAAATTCACTCTAATTCGTAACTACAGTATTCCTGTTCATTTCAAACCGCAGTGACAACAAGCTACTCTTTGTTGTGAAGTGAAGTGACAGACCAGACAGAACCAACACCTGCTCACTCCCCCCTCTCAACAACTGCAGCTAGATCAGTGTTGCCAGATGAGGGAAACATTCCCTGGCCATTTCCCTCCAATTGTTGTGACATCTGCATCGTTGTCGCCTGCATGTCGTGTTTATTACCTTGTTAGTGTATGAATTTTCTTTCGATAAAATTTAGATTGGCTGACTCTATCAATTTAATTAACGTTGTTTTCAGAAACGATGCACACTATTATCTTGCACTAATGTTATTATTGGTGTGTTCGAAATTCATTTAATTGCATCGTGAAATACACAGACTTAAAAATTCTTCAGGCAAGGTAAATTCTTTCTTTATGACAGTAAATTAAAGTTAATGTGTTGCTAACCTAATATGGACTATGTTGCAAGAGGGACATGTTCAATACGGTACCCAGAATACACCAAAAAAGACCGATAACCCTTAAAATTGTGTGTAATATTTAATAAAAAATTATTCTGGCGTAAACAATAAAATAATAAATCTCCAACATTAATTTCACTGTCCTTAGTATGTTAAACCGTATACTATTATGTATAATATTATTCGCAAAACAACAATAACAAAACTATGGCCATATTTGTTACAAGAAATGTAAGCTTGGAAAATATTTTAGTATCGGTAGTGTTCTGTGACACCTGATCCGTCCAAATATCAATCAAACATCAATAGACTAATAAACACTATTAGATCTCGACGTATAACCAAGTTTCTTTTAAAACTAGGGTTGCTTTCAGAGAGGTGAAAGCCAGTTGAGCGGAACAAACGTGATTTGATATTTGTATAAGTAACTAAATGTAAAAAGTCAAAAGATGTACTAATGCTGGTTTTATTGATTAAAATTATAATAATTCAAATTTGTTTTTAATACATCTTGTTATTCAGATGCCTCTTCCAAAAGTGCATTATGGTAGTTTTGACCAGGAAATTATTACAGCAGTTGGAATCTGGTATTAACATCCAAAAAGAGCATTAAAGTATAAAAAAGAGAAAGGAAATTTAACATTCAAATTCAATTGTAGCCTACAACAAAAACATTGGACTTCATTTTTCACCCTTACAATCGGTTAAAGTAGGCTATATTAAAGTATAAAAAAAACAGTAACTATTAAAAAAAAACCAGTATTAAAAGTATTACAACAGGAGGGGAAATTTGACATTTAAATTCAACTGTGCAACATAAACATTGGTCTTCATTTCAACCCCTGCAATCGGTTAAACTCAGCTTTCTTTGCTAGAAATAATTTATGATTGTTAATACCAAGTATTCGATGGAGGATATGATTGTAATGTAACTGGAATGTAGGTCTTCTACCATTATTAGGACGATTTAGAGACGGCATTTTAATACTGTCCTTAATAATACCATTGGCAATTGGATACAGAAGATTTTGATAAAAAAGCTGCTTACAAATTTAACATGGGGATGGAATGTCTAGTTGTATTGATAGTCAAAGATAAAACATAGGCCTACAAAAAATGTAGGGTTATTTTAATGTAAGACTCAAATGTAAAACACCTTTAAAAGACTAAAATGAACTGAATTATCAATCATGTATTTCAATGTGTAAAAACTGCAAAAAGACTTACTTATTGAACAATAAAATACCCCCGCCGCAGCAAACCTGCCGACTAAGCGAATTTCCATTTGTCTGAATTGATTTTCAGTTAAATATATTTTAATAACATTAGGTTTAACGAGTACCTAGGTTTGCTGCTCCAAGGAAACTAATAAAGTGTGTTTTTGAGTAAAACATTGATAGCTTAGTACAAAATAAATAAATTTGCCAAGTTTGATCAAAATATATCCATAAACAAGCAAACTACAACATTTTACAATATTCTCCATAAGAATAACATGGGAATTTTAAATTTACAATTTTTTTAATTTTCTCCGTTACTAATAATCGAACAAAAATACTTTTATATACTAAATTATTTTTTTTTTTAAGCTCTTTAAAAAGGTCTAAAGAGAAATTGGGAAATTTTGTGTTTTGAGGGTCAAAAGTGAGAAAAACCGATTTTTACCCCATAAAACCCCCCGTAAAGCCCCGTTCCCATGGTCCGATCGTGCTGGTTCGCGAACTCATTCAAGTTTATCCCGCTTTACACCTTTAAACCAAATTTCATCAAAATCGGACAAAAATTACTCAAGTTATCGCGTTCACGGACGTATATATATATATATATATATATATATATATATAAGTCTATATATATATATATATATATATATATATATATATATATATATATACATATATAAAAATTTGAACGAATGGTGTTTTTGGCCTCTGGGGACATCAAAATGAAAAAGTAAATCGGTCCCGGGTCTAGGTCTTACCGTGCCACCTACGGTAATAGCTACTTCCCTATAGGGAAATTCGCTAATAAGATGGCTGAAATGTAGGCCTAAACATAAGTAATAAGTAAACATCGCATTCAGCTGATTTAAGTGAAAACAGAATAATAATAATAAGGGAAGTCATGTCTTAAAAATACAATGTAGATAATATAATTAGAAATTAGTAGCCTACTTCTGGACAGGCCTAGACGATTATCCATACCTTGGTTAAAAGTGTACTTCTATAAGTCCAGGTAATTAATTATTTACTTATTACGGTTGTAACTGGACGTATGTATAGTCCGTGGCTTGGCAATCAAATAACAGTATTTATATAGGATAGGCTACTGTTGTGAACATTTGAAATTACTGAATTGTTATCAAAATACTGTTTCGAAAAACGCAGATTCCATTTTCAGCCGAGCCATTAATTGCCGAACAATTATTAATATTAGAGAATAGTATTTAATGATATACAACTTTTCACATTTCATAAATTATATGTTAGTTTTGCTATGGTCAAAGGTCCAAATCCAAATGTTCTTTTCATTTGGTTTTTATGTAGTAATTTGCTAGAATCATTGACTTTATATAAAGTCAATGCTAGAATACAGTAGATGGTTTGTTAAGACCATATGCAAACATTTTTGAAATCGTTTCCCCGTTTAACCGACTATTCCAAAAGATAAAAATTATATGGTGCAACACAAATAAACAACTCGATCACCTACTTATAACCTACACTTTACCTCCCTAATCTAACTTTACTTCAAAACACTTAAATGTAGTCACGAATACTCATAAACCCCGACCTACCTTCCCCAC